CGGAATTAAGTAGTCCAAAGCTACAGATTATCCTTCACACACTCACTAATCATTTGCCGATCCTTATCTCGGCAAAATAAGGAGCTTTTCTTAGTTAAGAGTCAATTAAAACTACTCAAAGCGCTTATCTTAGGTGAATGCTGTAGTGGCAGGCTAGAAGAACATAAGTGTACGGCAATTTACAAATCTACAGGTTAGGAGCAAATGATGCAGCTCAGAAAAAATGTTTTGTGAATAATCATAACATACATACCGAATTTTCTCAAATATGAGTTCGTCTTACTCTTATATATCTAATTTTATTAACACTACTATAAACTTCTATAAGAATATTGAAACTGGCAACAATAAATTAAACGACACAGTATATAATGCTAACTGTTTAAAGTAATTGAATACCACTCATGTCCACCTTCAGTGTTTGCTAGTGAAATAAAATGGTCTAAACACTGTGTGCAACGCAAAGATTGTTTGAAAATCCCTCATGAATACTGAATCACATTGTTTACACTTATTTGGACGTTCAATAACTTTTATAATTATACATCAATGAACTGTCGTCAAGATTTGACAGTGGTTAGGACTCTCGCCGACTATGCACATGGTCCGGGGTTCGAACCCCTGCCGACGCACACCCGATATCTATGGTCGGCCTGCAAAATTTGGGCTACCGATATCCATGCTGAAAATGCCATACTTGTACTGAAAATACGGTGTGGCATCAAGCTGTAATCAAAATAAAATAGTCTAAAATATTTAGGCGCCGAGTGAGAAGTAGACATTTGTGAAAAATTATATTTGTAAAATCTCAGCGAGATTGAAATGAGTAATTCCAACGTTTCGTTCGGCAATCTGGTCCGAATGTCTTCAGGGAAATTAATCGAAATTAACATAACAGAGGTTTATATATAAAAGGAACATCACTTGTTTTTAAAAACTTCCTCCAATCAAAATTTGACCTCGGACTTACAAATATTGGTCTACCTTTGTTAAACACTTTAAACAGACTGTGTATGTGTGTGTTGGTAAACAGTTGTAAAACATTTCTTAACGTCTTCATAAGAAGATATGGACAGTCGAGAATTTTGACCAAATATAAATAATTAGTGATACATATCAATTTTTTATTTATTAATAAGGATTTCCTATGCATCAGTTAACATCACGCCTGCATATCTGTTCAAGCGTTTAGTATCTAGAATTTTATGATTAGACGTATTTTCAAAATTATGGTGTTTAGGATTAGAGTTTAGTAGAAGCACCCTGTCGAACTTATTGCTTTGTCTTCTTTCTGAAGATTGAACTGCTTTATTCGACCTACTGGAGTTGTCAGGTGACTTGACAGCTACGGATTTAGGATATGCGTATCCAGTAGGTCGAATAAAGCAAAATTTTTAAAAACAAATGATGTTCCTTTTATATATAAACCTCTCTAATGTTAATTTCGATTAATTTCCCTGAAGAAGTTCGGACCAGATTACCAAACGAAACGTTGGAATTACTCATTTCAATATCGCTGAGATTTTACAAATATAATTTTTTACACATTTATATTATTATTTTGACATTCATATTGCATATTACATGCGGATTTGTCTTACTGATTTGTTTTCTGCTTTTAACTCTTATTTTGATGCTTCTGTCTGTATTTCTGTGGACACTGCTAGTGTGTTGTATGATGTGATTTTGCTTGAGTGAGTGACTGAATGGAAACCAGTCAATGGTCCATATCGAATGGTCTTAAGGTTAATCCCTCCAAATATCGATTAGTTAATTTCACTTTCATACTCAAGCGCGACTTACATGAACTGGTTATTTCGCATGGTTCCACTACAATAGATGGCACAGAAATCGAAAATAAATCGGATGTTAAGTACGTTGAACTGCGCACCCGCCTATTTTCCTAGTCTTCCCCACATGTAGTTTCTAGAAAGATAGTTACGTTCTCGTTAGGAGTTAAGTCTGATATCATCAGTCATTCCACTTCTACAGTTTGCTAATTCTTGTATCCTACCTATTCTTCTGTGTACCCCCCCCCCTAACAACAAAAAACTAAACGATATCGTATATACTACTAATTGATATTATTATTATTGTTCCCTTGGGTTCCTAGTGGAACATAGGGCTTCAACTGCACGCCTCCACTTGCTCCTGTCTTCTGCTGTACTTTTCACTTGCATCCATGTTAATCCATACTGTTCCATCTCTTCCTCACACGATCTCCTCCATGTCACCCTTGGACGTCCCACTCGCCGCTTCCCTTTCCGGTTCCACTCAAGCACTGGCCTGAGGCGCGATGTCACCCAGCGGCCTCCTCAGCCAGTGAGTGTCCAATCCATCTCCACTTTCTCCTACATATTTGCTGAGCGATTGGTTCCTGTTTCGTTTGTTCCCATAGCTTCTTGTTTGTGATTCATTCCGGCCATCTAATCTTCAGTATAGAACGAAGACAGTTGTTGATAAAGGTCTGCAACCTATTGAAAATATTCTTTGTGACTCGCCAAGTTTCTGATCCGTATAGAAGAACTGACTGACTTGACGCTTGTATTGAAAATCCGAATCATTTTGTTGTTGATGCTGAGTTGAATGACAGCGGAAGATTTCCAGATTGGTTTCAGGTTGATGGATGTGCTTCTCGCCTTCCCGACTCTCGATTTGACATCGTCGTCCGTTCCTCCTGTAGTTGAGACAATGCTCCCTAGATAAGTGAATGAAGTACTCTCTTTCAAACCCCTCCCGTTGATGTTGATTGACGCTGGATGTTGCTGCTGCTGTTGTTGTTGTTGTTGGTTGGTGATTTTGATAACCTCCGTCTTGTCTGTGTTCACCTGGAGTCCTGTCTTTGGTGCCAGTCTCTTCGACCAGTTTGTCGGTTTTTGCTTGTAAGTCTTCGATTTTGTGTGACATCAAACATGTGATTTCGCCTGAGTGATTGATTGATTGGAAATCAGTCCTTGGTCCTTTTCTCATAATCTTAAACTTAATTCCTCCAGATATCTAGTTGTTAATTTCATTTTCAGATGCAAGCACGACTTACATGAACTGGTTATTTCGCATGGTTCCACTGCCATAGACGGTACAGAAATCGAAAATAAATTGGATGTTAAGTACTTTGAACTACGCATCTCGCTTAGTCTTTCCTAGTCTTCCCACATCATGTTAGTTTCTAGAAAGATATTACGTTTAGTGTTCTACGTTAGGTAGTTAAGACAGTCTGGTATCAGTCAGTCAGTCTCCACTTCTACAATTTGTTAATTCTTTTATTCTACCTATTCTTCTGAGCTGCTCCCCCCCCCCTAATCTATCCTATACTACTTAAGAAAGACTCTGTCACACTCCAAAGGGCACTAAAAGAGGTCAGTAGGTCAAATGGGATGTCGCTAAGCCAATTTGTTAATACTGTTGTAGAAAGACACATGAATTCCTGCAAGAAATTGGCAAATATAATCCTGTAAGACCCTGAACGTTCTCTCTTTACACAAATGTCTTCTTGCATCTCATCGGGTAGGGGAACTATAGAAGACTATATGCTCGGCTGACTAAATATAAAACCTTTACCATACCTTATTTAGCAATTATTTTATGTGATGAGAAATTGTAAGCTAGGACACTACCAACTTACCGCGAAACAAAAAAGTTAACGGCTCTCTTTTTCCTATTTTTCCATTTTTATATTGTTGCTAATATTTTCACTTAATCTAATTTCATATCCATATTCACATTGAACAATATTATCCATGTGGATGACCTGTTTTAATTATTACCACTATAATGAGAAAATCAGATGCAGTACTCTACTACATGCTAAAAATTCCATATTTCTACCAAAATACTGTTTGGAGTAAAGCTATTATTATTATTATTATTAAGGTTATTCTGATCTTCGACCTTCTGCAGAAAGAGTTGGTATGTGGTTCTTGTAGACTGAGTTTTTGATTTTGACCTTTTTGGGAATGTTTAACTTGATTCTAAGTATTCGTTCTGTACTTAGACTGGACTGTACAGCTGCCTAACGAACCTGTTAAGATAATCTTGAGTTTATCGATGTTATTATTGTTGTTGAATGGAACCACACATGGATTCCAGTAACAACCAATCCGCTTTTTGCTGTCTTTGTAGCGTTTTGTAACTGTGCGCCGAATTGTTTCAAAACGAACCGAATTCCAGTCAGTTAATTGTTCAGACTAGTAATACACACACACAACCTAAATCGTCATTTGCAAACTACTAACTCCTAAACATGAAAAAAACTACTTATGAGTAGTAGAATAATAGTAACAGTTTTATAAATGATAACCATTCTCACACCTGTATATCCTCTGCTTACAATTTTTCGATGTATCCACTTTTCTGCCTTTTGGACAAGTAAAATAGCCTTTCTTTCCTTAACTGCCATTTTTTTCCTAACAAAAATGGCCTATTTCAAAATAAATCTGATAAATTGACGAATCAAATTAAAAGCTTAAATTTCCCTCTCTGACTTTATTTATTTATTTGTCATTTGATTCACTTAAAGTAGTAGCTTGCCATTCAAAAGTGATTGGATAGGAAGAAAAAATTGTTACACGCCTCTGTAAAATCTTCTAACTAGTAACATCACAAAAGAAATATACTTTGTCGTCTTCTATTGCTTCATCTCCCCTCCCTTTTGTAGGAGAAAAGTGGATAAATAGATACATGGATTGACGGATGGATGAATGGATAGATTGATGGGGAAAAATTTCCCTTTCTTTATATATTATATGTGGGAAATAATGTAAGACACTTATGTAGTCAGCCTCAATTTTTTGTCCATACACATATACTTGTACTGCTGTTTAGTGTCTTTTGGGGACAACAGGTAACAACGGCAATAACATTTGCAGTTACATATAAAATAATTAACGATAGCAGAATTGCACAATAGCCTGCTGATAAACGCCTGAAAACAGTAAATCAGAATTTTTACACCAAGATTATTTTAAATACTGATCATTAAGCTACTACCGGAAAAAAAGAAAATGAGAGAACAAAAGAATCCTCTAAACAAATCACTGTCAACCTCATCATCAACATCATCTGATAAGTTGTCCAGCGGTGGATCTAGATCAGGTAAGAAAGAACATTTTGTTTAAAAAGTTGTTTAAAAAATTTGATTTATTTCCATTTTCTTCACCTCATATTTTTAAGTGTTAGTTTACAGGGATTTTATATCAGTTAGAGAACCGGTGAAAACCAGCAGGGAGTGCTGGACAGACATTTCGTCTTAGTTTGGGCCTACACTGAGGACCCAGTTCAAGACCTTCAGGTTGTAAGGTTAGCCAGTTAACCATTCAGGTACTTAGGCCGGCATTCAATGACCTGTGAAGCAACTTATATTATTTCATGTCTTTAGAGTCACAGATATCTGAGTATTCGTTCTCACACCCAATTCGAGGGACGAAACTCGTCATAACTTCTCACTGATAGTCCGTGCAATTTTGTTCTGAAGTCGGTCGACAGTGCGGATCACAAGTTACAATCACTTAATTAATCTTTACAATCTTCAGTAATGACTGGCAACAGAACAATGTTGCCTGAGGTTCTAGTGGGATGTAGTGGCCACAGCGGTCCTATAAGTTGGGTGTAAGAGCGAATATTCGCGGATGATAATGGCTGCTGATCCCTCTATATGGACTACCAACTGGCAGAAGTTAGAACTGATGGGTCGCCGAGTTCAGTGTTAGTGGCTGAATGGTCAACCAGCTAGCTTTGTAACCTAAAGGTACTGTGTGGGCTCACACTGATGAAGAATCACAAAAAAGGACGAAACAGCTGTACACTGCTCTCCAGTTTTCAATGGTTTTCTGGCATTCACAACTACACAATCAAAGGGTACTCAATAGTAATTTCTTCTATTAGCTAGAGACAGAGACTTTTCTTTAGACGGGATTTAACCAGAAACAGATAGCTAAGTTTCTTCGAAAACAAACTGACATGTTTCGATTAAGTTTAAAAGAAGTATTCGGACTTTTTCCGCTTGTCACACAATTTAATCAGTGAGTAACACCGTTTCCATAGCGTAGATTAGAACTCTGATGGGGAAATCCAGAAATTCAAATAACGAGAATGAGATTCTCAGTTTGTTGGTTACAATGAAAGAGAGCAATTAATTTCTTTCACAGGCATTACTGATGAGGCCTGTCCTCGGAGGAAACATCCATCAGCTACGCCTTGATTTTCAATGATAATAATAATAATTTGCTTTATTCCAAAACAGTACTTGTGATACAGAATGGAATTCTCAGCATTTTTACTACAGTATTGCATCCAGTTAGTACATTATCAATAAATAGAATTCTACATAGATTAAGGAAATCTCAGTTCCTTGTGACAACAACATATTGGCATGTCGGTAGCAAAGCCAAAGTTGAACAGAATGTTAAAAGGTGTAAGAAAAGTAGGTGCTATCATATTTACTGGCGTAAGCGGAAGAAAGAAACAAGGCAGCACATAACAACAACAAAAAAGAGAAAAGGAAAAGAAAGAAAGAAAACGTTGTACCTATAAGTGATATGAGTTGGAAAGACGAGATCCAGTTCTTCTACTGACTATTTAATGAGTTATAGGTGTCACGCCTAATGCTTTCTTTATCACATAGAACACGAGCTAAGTAGGTTATGGTTGAGTTTTTGTACTTGCTGGTGTGAGTTAGATAAAACACATTTGGCCCATTTTTCACATGAGTCCATGTGCCTGTCATTCAGAATATTGACAAGCTGGTTAAGTGGCACATTGCTTACCCTGCTGACAACCTTTAACACCCTATGTAATAAGGTATAGTCTTTCTTCAGTAGCCATGGAAAAACTAAGGGGGAACAACAGAGAATAATAGGCAGAATGCGAAAGTTAACGAATTGTAGGAGTAAGGGTTGGGTTATACCAGAATGTCTTAACTTCTTGATGTAGAAGGTAAGACGGAATATTTTCTTAGAAATCGCCAAGATATGAGACGACCAGGAGAGGTCAGCAGATAGAATGGCGCCTAGGTATTTTATTTCCGACTTGGTTTCTATTTCAGTGTCATCTATGTTGCACACCTCGTGAGAGAAATCTTATATGAAAAAATTGTTTTATATATTTTTTAATGTCTTGTATCACTGGAATACAAGTCAATGATATAAATTCGACTGGAGAAGTCTAACTTTCTGAAGTCTGCCTTTATTTTCGTGACATTTTGGTATATCCTTTAAAAGACATGAAGTTACAATCCTACGCCTAATTTTATCGAAAGGTTTTATATTTTTTAATTTCATAAGTGCTAACAGAATACATTTTGGTGCACTATACTATCATTCATTTCTGTCCGATCAAGTCTAATATTCACTTGCTTGTGATGGAATTAATCATTTAAAACAAAATGACTCATATTCGTGGTCTATGCAGTCCACCATTGTTAAGGCTGAGTGACTCCTCATCGATGACATTAGTTAGCGACAGCACCATATTGCGAATTGATAGACGTTACAGGTAACGGGTCATTAAGTTTCTACCTAGTGGTTGAATGGTGAATGGGCTTGGTCCGCAACCTGATGGCCATGGGTTCAATCCTTGGTGGGGTGCGCGCCGACAAAGAGTCCTAAACTAGGACAAAACGGCTATTCAATAAGTACTCTGTGGTTCTCAAAGACTCCCCTAAGTTATGTCGGTTCCTAATGAGATCTGAAATGAAAAATCATTCTTATATGAGCGCTCAACTCAAAATAGTAATAACAGTCGTAAAGTCCCTCGCCAGTGATGGTCTATATCTCATGTTCTCTGAACTGACCTCTTCTAAATACTGAAGGTAGTTTCATAAATTCACACGCATACACTTCAGACTGGAGTTCAATGTTACCGCTAAGCCAATTACAGGTGAAAATGAGATAAACAACTCAAGTTCTTAAGTTTCTCGTCTTGACTAGCAATCTTTTCATACTCCCCTTAATCCATTTTGATTGTAAAGTCAATCAGCCATTAATTTAGTCATTATTTCTGGATGACTAGTTGCTCCCGTTTGGTCCCTCAAATTGAGAGATACTAGGTGATAACCTAGTTCGTCGGTGACATAACGGTTAGGACGCCTGCCGACCATACATATCGTCCAGGGTTCGCAAGTCGTGCTTCAGCAGCACAGCGCAAGTTCACTGTGTTCTCTGCAGTATTCATTAGCCAGCTTGACGGCTGCCCATAAGCCTTCATTTCCTACTCACATGTACACCTCCATGTCACCATTGCAGACACAACTCATTGTTTGCCATTCGGGTTCCGTTTGACGGCTTGGCGCGTACCATCACTCAGTAGTCTACTAAATGTATGTCCAATCTATCTCCATTTCCTCCTCTATATTTTTGTGGAGATAGATGCTTGGTAAGGAGCACTAACTTGACATTAAAACTAAAAATTCGGATCTAGTTTCTTTTGTTGGGTGTTGTAAATCGTCACAAGGGTATCGGAGTAACGGACGCTTGTCTTGCTTTTCCGATGTGATCCAGACTGGCCTTGACATCTTCATCCTTGCCACTCATGGCTGAGATGATGCTATCAAGATAAGTGAAATAGACGACTTCCTTTAGAGAATGTGAACTGACAGGATTCATTTTTCTCATGTCGTCAACAGGAGCTGATCACTGCAGTTATCCAGTTTTTCTAAGGTCTGATAGTGAAGGTAGCCTTTCAGACAACAGGTGGTTGCTATAATCTACTAATCTCAGAGATAACCAGTAAGGGGATGAACACTTGTATATCTCCACCTAATTGGTGAAAACGTAATACACAGTCAAACCGGATATTCGGTTCCATATCTAAAGACCAATATATCAAATCTTTTCAACTGAATTTGCCAATATATATATATATATATATATATATATATATATATATATCAGAATTCGAAGATGACAAGTAACTTAAAAAGAAGGAATCGGAGAGGTGACCAGATTTTAACAATTTTTAACCAGAAATTTACGTATCGGGTCATCTACGAAACTATACTGCAAGGGGCTTAGATGCTAGGCAGCTAGTGGGAACATGGAATTATCAATGACAGACTGTACAGCTCCCATGTCCGAGGTTCGATCCCCTGCCGCGCACACCCAACATGCGGAATTTGTCTATGCTGAAAATTCCACACTTGTACTGAAAATACGGTGTGGAATCAAGCTATAAATCAAAAAATAATAATTCCTGAAGTGGGAAAACATCGTTGTTGATTACTCCATAGTTTTCAAGAAACCTCTTTCTTACAATACGAATTCTGTCTAGGACTGACGTCAATTTGAGAATCATTGAAAACTGTGAAGGAATGGTTTGGAACTATTCAGCAGTGGGTACCAACTACCTAACCAGAGGTCGAACCCAAGACCTTCAGCTTATGGGTAGAGCTCGTTGAACACTCAGCCACTAGATTGGAATTCATCTCTCCGTGAACTCTAACTGCTGTCAATTCGCGATACAGTGCCAACACCATAGATGAGCTTCCACTTCACCATGGCAAGGTGAACCCCACCCTCTACGACTTCTCATTTAAACATACGTCTAATGACTTATTTACGCCAATATCCAAAAGTTGATCAACTCCATAAAAATTTTTCACGGAAAACCGTTTAAAGTCTGATCACGGATTGATATCAGTAATAGAACCATTGAAAACCATGGAGTACTGAGCAGTTGCTTCATCCTAGTTTGGGACTCATCGGCAGTACGCACCCACCGAAGTCCGAACCCATGACGTTTCGGCTATAAGGCAACCTTGTAGCCCATTTAGCCACTGCAACCCAACTCATCGACCAGCCTATGAATTCTGGCTGCTACTAATTCGTGATTTTAGCGCGACCAAGAGCCAGTGTAATAGTTGGCGAGTATTTGCTGTCACTCCCAACCCAGTGGACCCTACTGGTCACCACTTATCGCTAAAACTCCAGGCAACTTCTTTCTGCAGCCAGTGGGGTCCACTCGGTTGGGAGTGAGGACAAATACTCTCCAGCAATGACACTGTCTCGCGGTCACGCTAAAATCACGAATTATTAGAAGATAGAATTCATGGGCTGGTCACTGAGTAAGGTGCTAGGTCCTGAGTCCCAACTGCAGTGGGT